TGCCCCAAAGTTTTACCTCAGGTAGCTTCCTGTTATTTAAGTATTCACCTGAGGACTATTTACACCTTTTTTAAAGAAAAAAGTCCCATTCACATAACACTATCCATTAGGGAATCAAGTTCCTTTCAAGCAGTACACCAAAAATAAAGCACTTCTCACAACACTGCATTGGTTTATCATCCCTTAGCTTCACAGAAGAAGCACAAGCTGGGGTTATATAGAAACTTAGTAATTTATCATGCTGTACACATACACCAAAGCAAAGCCAAAATAGCGTGCCATGCACTTAGAAGCAATCAACATAGTATACAACAGAACTTAATTTAAAGCTAGATCAATGAGTAACATTCTGAAGAACAGTAGGATGTTAGAACTGTGATTATTTTAACAGGATAAGCAGAAAAGCATTAATGAGATTACAAACTGTGATTTCTTAAATGCCAAAGAAAATACGAACAGACTTGGAGATCACAAATTTAATTTTAAAATGCAGCTTTATCATACAAAAAACACCCCAAAACCAAAAACACACAAGAAAAAAAGTTTACATCAAGAAAGCTTTCAAAGCAACTAGCAAAAAAAGTTAAGACCCCAACACTTAAAAAGTGAGAATTCATCATCAGAGCAGCTCTAGCAACATTATACACTGATCTTCTGTAAAAGAAATACTGAAAAGCTCAGCTAATAGATACTTCACAGAGAATACAGGGACACTGCAAAATTCAAATGCAATAAACACAGCTTTACAGAAAATAGGTCTTGCCAAATGATCATTGCCCCTAAAGTTACTCATCTGCTAGTCAACAACTGTTTTCACAGGACTTCTGAAGAGCACATTCAACACACTGCATAAAAATTGACAGGGATTCAAATGGGTTAACAGAAAGTTCTCCACCAATAATTGTAAATGGGGAATCATCTCATGGAGACATTTCTAGAACAAGTCCCACACGGATCTCTTCTCATCTCAAGGTTGTATGATATTTTTAGCAATATGAGAGTTATAAATACACCACTGGCAGAATTCATGCATGGCAAATTAACACAAAAGTGTTAAATATTAAATTCTACAAACTAATCTAAATATACGCTAAGCAGAGCTCAGCTGAAGATTGCTTCTAAAACATCACAGTCATGATTTTAGGAGCTATGAATATTTTACACAACTACAGGATAGGGACTTTAGTCTGTAAAACAGATTCATTAAACAATTTTGCAGTGAAGGACAATATCCAAAGTAATATAGGATTGCTATAAATTGGTTCCTAGTAACAAACTGAGATCTACACAGATAAACCCTATAGTAAGTGTTCAACTTCCATAGCTTTTATTGTTACAGATCTGTTGTTAATCAGGAGCTGTTTCTAGAACATATGCAAGAACCAGAAAAACACAAAAAAAGTTGTTATGGCTTGAAACATTTTTTTACTTGATTTGTTGTTGAATATGCAATATCAGTTTTGCACTATCTGTAATTTAAGAATAAATCCAAACTTATTTCATAGGCATGGTGAAACTGCATTTGAGTCTGCATATGTATACCTCCTTGTATGGAAAATATATTAGAAAAATAATCCTCTCGACCAACTGAAAATACCAACAACTACAGATATTTCTGGAAGTTAACAGGGATCATTCATATGGTGCAGAGGGATGGATCTGTATCAGCTACAAGAGCCTTCAAAACTGTTTTTAGTGGTGGTGTTCTTCAATACTCCAACCTATACTCAATGTCACAAAGGACATGCCAAATGGATGAGTCCTCTGACTGCAAGTCTGAGGGTTTCAATAGAATCATAGAATCATTAAAGTTGGAAAAGACCTTCAAGATTATCAAGTCCAACCATCAATACAATACCACCATGCCTAGTAAACCCTGTCCCAAATTGTGACATCTAAACATTGAACGCCTCCAGTGACAGTGACTCCACCACCCCTCTGGGAAGCCTGTTCCAATACTTGACCACTCTTTCAGTACAGAAATTTTTCCTAGTATATAATCGAAACCTTCCCTGATGCAACTTGAGGCCATTTCATCTCATCCTATCTCTTGTTACTTCAGAGAAGAGACCAACACCCATCTCATTGCAACCTCCTTTCAGGTAGCTGTAGAGGGTGATAAGGTCTCTCCTCAGCCTCCTCTTCTCCAGGCTAAACAATCCCAGTTCCCTCAGTTGCTCCTCATAAGACTTGTGCTCCAGACCCCTCACCAGCTTCATTGCCCTTCTGTGGACGCGCTCCAGCACCTCAATGTCCTTCTTGAACTGAGGGGCCCAAATCTGCTGAACACAGTATTTGAGGTGCAGCCTCACCAGTGTGGAGTATAGGGACATGATCACTTCCCTACCCTACTCCTGCTGGCCACACTATTCCTGATACATGCCTTCTTGGCCATCTGGTCAACCCGCTTGGCAGTACCCCCAGGTCCTTTTCTGCCAGGCAGCTTTCCAGCCACTCTTCCCCAAGCCTGTAGCATTGCATGGGGTTTTTGTGACCCAAGTGGAGGACCCAGCACTTGGCCTTGTTGACCCTCATACAACTGGCCTCAGCCCATTGATCCAGCCTGTCCAGATCAGTCTGTAGAGCCTTCCTACCCTCAAGCAGATCTAGCCTCCTGCCCAACTTGGTGTTGTCTGCAAACTTACTGAGGGGGCACTCAATCCCCTCAGTCCAGATCATTGATGAAGATATTAAAGACTGGTCCCAGAACTGAGCCCTGGGGAACACCACTTGTGACCAGCCACCAACTCGATTTAACTCCATTCACCATAACTCTCTGGGCTTGGCCATACAGACAGGTTTTTTTACCCAGCAAAGAATATGCCTGTCTAAGCCACGAGCAGCCAGCTTCTCTAGGACAATGCCGTGGGAGACAGTGTCAAAGGCCTTACTGAACTCCAGGTAGATAATATCCACAGCCTTTCCTTCATCCGCTAAGCAGGTCACCTGGTCATAGAAGGAGATCAGGTTGGTCAGGCAGGACCTGCCTTTCATGAACCCATGCTGGCTGGGCCTGATCCCCTGGTTGTCCTGCACATGCCTGGTAAGCACACTCAGGATGAACTGCTCTATAACTTTGCCTGGTACCGAGGTCAGGCTGGCAGGCCTGTAGTTCCCCGGATCCTCCTTCTGGCCCTTCTTGCAGATGGGCATCACATTGGCAAGCCTCCAGTCGCCTGGGACCTCCCCTGTTAACCAGGACTGCTGATAAATGGAGAGTGGCTTTTTTTTTTTTTTTTCCCTCCCCCCCCCCCCCCCT